TTATATAAAATTACATACACACACACACATATATAGATAGATAGATATAGATATAGATATAGATATAGATATAGATATAGATATAGATATAGATATAGATATAGATATAAGATATATATTTACAAACTATTTTGTGGAATTAATCAGTAAAATTACCTGGACCTGGAGTATTTGCTGTAGAAATCTAGATTCATTTTTTTAAATATGGATCCTATTTAATAGCTAAAGAGCAATTCTAATATTTTTTTTTCCCTGTCTACTTTTATGTTTATTTTTCTAGAAATTGTCTATTTCTACATCTACATTTTTAAATTTATTGGCATAAAGTTGTTCATAATATTCTTTTGTTTCCCTAATACAGTATTAGCATTATGATTATTTTAACTGTCTGAATATTCTGAATATAATGTTCAAGCAGATTTCTTCATAATGTCATCATAATAAATTTCAAAAAGTAGAATCACTAAGACCAAAGGCTAGTGACAGGCTCTTTGTACATTTTACTAAATTAACCTTTATAAAGTTTGATATTACTAGTAGTAAAGAAAAATGCATATTTTTATAGCCTCGGACATTCTTATTATAATAATCATGTTCCATTTTATCTATTTTTTTGTCAATTTGATATACTAAAAATAGTATTCTCCTACTTAATTTTATTTGCATTTATTTAAATTTATTTGAAGGCTGAACATTCTTTTTCCAAATTTTTATTTGTTATATATTTCTTTGTGAATTGATTGCTCACATCCTATGAGTTACATTTTGATTTAAGACTAAACAGGCAAAATCTACAAACAGGAAAAATAGTCAAACTCTTTTAATATGGCTACTGACCAAAGAGTGTACTAATAGGATGGTATTGTTTCTTATTTAAAATACTACAAGTTGTACTTTGTTATGTGTATGTGTGCAACAAAATTTTGCAGCTAGCTATTTTACATAACTCTTCTCTGTCAACTTTATTTGTGGAGATCTATTTCTATGCATAATTTTCAAGGTAAAAGAAGACTGCATATAAATGTTTTCCAAATTATCTTATAAGCTAATATTATCATTATAATACCAAATTGGCTCTTGAAACAAAATTGTTTCTATAATAAACAAACTAATAAAATTAATATGCAACAGATGCATTCAACAGATCTTAGAAGTCTTTGTTGCTAAAAATTTCCAAAATAAATTCTTAAAATTGATATAATACAGCAACAGATAAAACATCATCAGTTTTTTATTGCTATTAAGTGAATATTTATAACCTGAAAAGTGTATACTGATTTTAAAAATAATGTACAATTTCTTACTCATTACTTCACATCAATTTTTAAAATAACTGATTTACAACTAATTTAAAAAGCCATCCACGTTTCCAAGTAATTACTTTAATAGGTACAGTAATGTGATGAAGTATTAACCCATGGAGTGTACATAAATGAAAAACTGTTGGAAATATTGTAGCTTAATTATGTAACTGCTGTAACAGGTATTCTTATTATGAAATCTTGATAAAAATAAAAATTATAAGTAGATGACTAGAAAATTGTATCATTGAATTAACCTTGAACTATTTTTGCTCAAGTGTTTATATCTCTGCCCTTATATCAGGGCATGTGTGGGTACTAAATATTACTGATCATTTTCTAGCAGAATTTCTCAGCACTAATGCCTCCTTAAATGTAAGTTTATTTTTATAGTTCTTGTTTTAACGGTTCTTTTTCTATTCCTCTAATTCCAACTTCAGAAAATACTGCGGTCTCTCGTGGGCTCGTGAGGTGGCCTAGAATAGTGGTTCCAAGCTCAGATCCTAGAATCAGACGACTACACGCACCCTGACTTCATTATTACCAGCTGTAAGAAACTGGATCCAGTCCTTCACCGCCGCAAGGCCTCGGTTTCCTTCTTTATAAAATCATAATAATAGTATTTCCTACTTCACAAAATTGTTGTGGCAATTAAAAGACAAACCCAGGGACTGACACCTTGCCTGGTCACTCACACCCTAAATCTGAGTCATTCCAGATGCCTTCCCTTCTCTACCCAACCCCTGAACACTCCACCTCCTGCCAATCCCCATTCCTGAAACTTCTATCATCGTGACCTCCCCTCTCAACCACTAGTAAGTCTTCATCACTCCTCCTGCATTGCTTCCATCAATAATTTCCTAATTTGCCTCCTTCCATTTTTCCCTCCCACTCATTCTTCCAGAGAGTGATTATTTCCAAAACAGGAACCTAACGATGTCACTAACCCAGTGTGAAACCACGGGGTGAGGGCGCCCCATTTAGGCCCCCAAAGCTGTCATCTGGCCTTCAGTTTCTAGCCTCTAGCATTGGTTTCCTCCTCTCTACGCCCATCAAATCTACCTGCCTGCTGGCTTCTAAAAATAGCATAGCTATTTAGTTCCACATTTTTTCTCTTACCCCTTATTTTTGAAGAACCAGCTCCAGGACACGCCCTCTGTGAATTATTCCGTCTCCTCCCTTTCCCCGTGCCCGGCTAAGGCAGAGCTGACCTCTTTCACCTCTGTGTTCCCACTATACTCTGTACAAACATGTATTGTGTGCTGGCACTTGGTGCCCTCGTTTCTGTGTATTTCCTGCTAATGCACTCTAAGGGTTGTATCCTCAGCATCAAATGCATGTCCAATAAAAAGCACAAACAAATGTTTATTATTGAATAAACGAGATGAAAGTTCCATGGCTCTCTAACCTCAATTTCACTACGGTGGTTAATCAAAAGAAATAGAACAGAAAATTATATGCAATTCCTTGTCAGTTGCTACAAAAGATTTACAGATTTATGCTTTTATTATTTTTTCCCTGGCTTACAGGTAAATCTACTGCATAGCCTCAAGTCACTTTCTTACCCTGACGCTATTTTACAAAGCAAAGAAAACCTGAAGAAAAAAGCAAGTATCTCCTGGAATACTCGTCTTCTCTTCTCGTTCTTTAATTCCTTGGAAACCTTATTATATATATACATATATTGTCGATTATTCTTTGCTATCTATAAAGTAAGCTCTCTAAAAGGTATGTTTATGGAGACAGCAGGATGGATACTAGCTTATTGGTTGACCAATATAGAGATCAACCCCAAAAACCCAGCAGTTTTGTCATTCTAAATAACTTGATAACCCTATTTTGATATCTAAAGTCTGCGTTTTTAAGCAATTATCATCTTGAGAAAGATTATTAATTTTGCTATTCTATAATGCTATAATTTCCCCATTAGCATTCATAGGGTAGTTGTAAAACCAGTTCCCAAAAAAAGTGAATCTATTTTCTATTGATCTCTGACCCGTTTTTGAGGCACAACTGACCTGAATATCTGTGCCACAATAAATATTTGATACTCTGAGAAATGCTGGCAACTTACTAAGTAAAAGAATTATCTCCAATGTCTGTGGTATTAATCTGAAATCAGCAAATAAAGGCACTAAATTATAGAAATACAAAAGAGAATCCCACAGGTTATAAATCAGCAAAAAACACCAGGAAATGAGTTTTCAATTACTCTCTCTGAAATATCTTTTGTGTGCTAGCAGTAAGGAAACACGTGGTCTAACAGTGCTAGTCCTCAAGGAAATGATACAACCTGCATTATTGTGTATGTCTACAGGGAAGATCAATACAATCCATTACAATAAAATGTCATGAGTGTTATGACAATGTAAATACAGCACTTTATGAGAACTGAAATCTTACATTTCATGGTGCAGTCACAGAAATAAAACTTTTTAGATGAGTAAGGCTGCTTGTCCCCACTGGGAACAATCTTTAGGTGTCCATCCAGTTCCAATGGCTATCTGTAAAAGTAGCTAGATTATTCTTTGATTAAAAATTTATGGAAACTAAAAAACTATTAACTAGCATGATTGAATCCACTTTAAGAACAATCCACTTATTTTGCCTTTCTATAACAAAAATTAATTAAGCAATTACAAGAGAGAGTTATATACAATCTTCCAAGTCTCCCACCCCGAGGACATGAAGAGATGCTTAAACTGGTTATGCTAAAAGGAGGGTCCCATTCTGGCCTAGTCTCCATTTCTCCTTCCAGATCCAACTCTTCTGGATCATTCTGTGTTCCATTGGGTCCTCCCTTTCCTGAAGGCCTTGAGTATTGGCATTTTTAGTATTTGTAGGATGTCCTTAGACTTTGTGAACTTACTAATATGCCTGGAATAAGCTCTGCAAAGTGGAGACAGACAACTGAATTTGTTAAGCTGAAGCTAGTGCCTCTTTTAGTGTACAAATAAATTCCCGTTTATAATCTAAATGACAAAGACATTCCCCATTGGGCAGAAACATACATACTAGATATTTTCTAGATGTCTAGATATTTAATATTGCCTCTATTAAATATTTCCTCTATTACTGGCTTAAATCATTCAGAAGTTTTTCCTATGTAGCCATTTAAAACCCAAATTCTTTAGGACAGTATTTCTATAGGACAATATATTCTTACAGGCATAAAAATTGTGTAAGAAATGGAAAGGACATTGTCACAGAACGAAACTTTGTTTCTTAACTCAGCGTCTCCCAAATGGTGGTCTGTGGATATGTGCCCCAGTGTCCATAATAAAAATTTTGTAAAGGATTTGTGCATTATCAAATTTCAGAAACATTTATATTTATACCTGATCCCAAAGAACCAAACCTTAACACTCTTTTCAGCTTCCTCTCTCTCCTCTCTCTCTCTCTCTCTCTCCTCTCTCTCCTCTCTCTCCTCCTCTCTCTCTCTCTCTCTCTCTCTCTCTCTCTCTCTCTCTCTCCAGGTATTACATTTTTAAAAGGATAAAAGCCATGGAACCCCTCTCCTTACAGATTTTTTTATGGCTTCTACAACATTGGGGAATAAAAAAAAAAAAAAACCCACCCAGGTTAAGAACCAGAGAGCCTAGGTTAGGAAAACACTGTTCCTAACTTAATACAAAAGATTTTAATATTATTTCCAGGCCCCATGATCTTCTAATAGACTGTCTTAGCAAGATGAGGTACCTCTTAGAAATGCGTACTACCATGAATTCCTGCCGGCTATCATCTATGCCAGCATTTCCCAAAATGTGTTCTAGAGAGTAATGGTACATGGGAGATGTTCTAGGAAGAAAAATAAATACAGGAATATATTCTGTAGTTCATATATTATACTGAATCAGATGAAAATGCCATTTCTAGAAAATTTCATATGGTTCAAGCTAACAATATTTGAATGTATCAAAAAAGTTAAAGCCTCCAGTTTTCTTCTATCCTTAAACATTTTTCTGCCATAATCTTGCTAAACAGAATTCATTAGCTTATGTTTTTGCCAATAAATATACTAATAATTATACTTGGTCAAAAATCAAACTGAGAATAGAAGGACAAACAAAATAGAAGCAGCCTCACAAACAGAAAGAACAGACTGACAGTTTCCAGATTGGGGCTGGGGTGGGGTGGGTGGGGAGCTGGGTGAAAAAGGTGAAGGATTACAAAGTACAAATTGGTAGTTACAAAATAATCGTGAGGATGTGAAGTACAGCACAGGGAATATAGCCAGGAATATTGTAATAACCGCCTGATGCCAGGTGGGTAACTGAAATGTCAGGGGAACGCTTTGTAAACTACATGACTGTCTACCCACTATGCTGTACACCTGAAACTAGACACAAACTAATATTGAATGTAAACTGTAACTGAAAAATAATAAAACTGGGGGAGAAAAACTGATGTTAAAGAGAATTAATCATTTGCTTTGAATAAACCAGCCAGCTACTAAGACAGCTTGCATAACCAAGCCCGGCAGTCCCAAACCCTACCCAAGATGCAACGCTGCATGGCGTGTAGTCAGACAGGGATTTATTCGCAAGAGCAGCGGGTGAGGAAGATGAATGTGTTCCCAGCGCTCCCGAGAGCCACGGGCCGCGCAATAGAGGTTTTAAGAGCTGTAGTAATAGGCTTGGCACGATGCAGCGGCTATTGAGACTGAGAGCAGTTTAGAAGTTCCTCCTCACCGTCCAAACATCACAGGCCATCATCCGTTTATCACCTTTCAATAGGGATTCTGTGCGGATAGGTTTATTCTGTTGTTTTTGTTGTATGTGGTCATTATTATTCTTACTATTATTTTGGTCATCTCTCTTGATAGGAACAATGTTTAGCCCATCTAGCCTCCATAAATAAAAAGCTTTTACCACATAAGGNCTTACTATTATTTTGGTCATCTCTCTTGATAGGAACGATGTTTAGCCCATCTAGCCTCCATAAATAAAAAGCTTTTACCACATAAGGTCAGTTTGTTCTGCTTGGAAGATGGTGTAATATGACCAACTACAAAATAAGCCAATGTAATATTTATTCCCATTTCACCAACAGTATGAGTAGACGTTAAAGGTACTAACCAACTAAAATATACATATCAGGTTTTTTGTACTAGCCTTCAAATATCTGTATGTATATATACATATGTAAGTATATATAATATATAAAAATATATATACGTTTTTACTGAATGTGCAGAAGGAAATTTTGATATTTTTCTTCATTGGTTATTTTCATTACTTTACCATTTGAAACACAAATTTGCACCTCATTTCCAAGACACTAATTGTACATGTCTAATCCACCAATGATCACAATTTCGGTACAGCGTGCACAACTGAGCCAAAATGAGATGTAATTTCATTGCTGCTAGTAGCTCAAAACAAGTACTTTGGTTTGATAGACGGTATTAAGAAGATATTTCTCAACTTTAATTTCAGGCATACTATAATAATTGTTTCCTGGGTTTTCTGGAACATAATTGATACATAAATTTAGGATCAGGCTAGGTCACACAATGAGAAGTAGAGAAAAGCTTTTAAGATATTGGCAATTTATCTGCAGAAAAGGGACACAGATGTGTGGGGTTCTTTTTAACCCTAAATGTTCTAAATCATAAATACTGTAGCGGCAACATTACCCGAAAATGAATTCTCATAAATAATTCATTTATTATTTTCCAGCTTGCATTCTATTAAAGTATCCTTCTTTATAGTTACATCTCAAAGCTTATTATCGTTGGTATCAAATATGCAAATGTCAGGACACAGATTTTATGAACCCGTATTTTGTGAGCACACAAATTCACTCTGTGAAATGTTAAATCTCGTTTTAAAAGGATCTAGTTTCAACAACATACTAATGGGTTTTCCCTAGCACTTATTATAGAAATACATAACTATTTTGAAAAAATACTAAATACCCTGAGCATGTGAAGAGATCCTAAGTAAAAAAAGTTTTCTCAAGCCTTAGCCAAACCAACTGGGAAAGGGTGACAAGTAGACACATAAGGAATAGCTTCTCTTCCTCTGTTTAAATTCCCTGAACTATGTCATCCAAAGAGGTGGGCTGCCTTTTCTGCAACAGGAAATAAGTCAAGGATGGGACACTGTGTAAAAGAGCTAGTAGAAAGCAATGAAACCAGTTAGTCATATTATCTTAAAATTACACAAATTGATAAAATTGAAAGCAAATGGCAACATTACTGTTGAAATAGAATATGTAAAAACAACACATTATGCCTGAGGTTCTCTCTCTCCCCAAATCATTATGACTGTTATCTTAAGAAACCTTGTCCTTAGCACTTAGGGACTTAAAATATCGCTTATTTATTAGTTTAACATTATAGTAGGCCAGAACTCAGATTCTACTCATTTCATATTCATCAAATGTCCTGAATTTTTTTAATGTACATAGTGCTCACCAACCCCAAGCAAGCAACAAAAAAGGTAGCAAACGAGTACTATTAGGGGTCGAGGGCAGGGAAAACAAATCAGGATGTGGCTGGAAAAAGAGAAAACTTCTATACCTCCCACGCAAGGGACACCTCTGCTCACAGGTCCCCTGCCCTCTCCCGAGTCCAGTGAGTACTGACAATTAAGAGCCTACCACACAGAGAAGATGGTTACATTTTGGTATCTCCCGTTATGACTTAGGTGCATGACTTTCAAGAAATGTTCTTTGATAAGTTCTGAAACTGCACATTCTCTTTCTTCTAGGTTTCCACTAGACAGTCTCAATCCAGTTCTTTCAATATCTATTCCTAATAAATGGAAAAGTCATCTGACTACCATGGACCTCACTATCTTTTCTGTGAAAGAAAGGGAGAAGACAGTGTTCTTCATCTCTCTAAAACAAATATATTAGTGTGGGCAATAATTTTAATTTCACACATTTACAACTGCAGATCTGCAAAGCATTGTCCACATTCAACCATGTGAATGTTAATCTACTTTATCATAGGAAAGGGCTAATATAAATACTTCGCTATTTGAGATGAGAAATTGTGAGTAGAAAGTTGTAAGTGTTTACCATTACACCAGCTAGCATGTTAAAGATCGGGGCCACACACTTTTGAAAGCAGCACTGTAAAATTAAGGCGGAGGTGATGAAAACAGTATTTCTCTTTCCAATAAAAGACAACAGTCACTCCTCCTAAGCACCAAAGACAGGTGTAGTTGACAAAATATAGCTCAGAGCCCGGCCAGCGTGGCTCAGCTGTTGAGCATCAAATTATGATCCAGGAGATCAAGGTTAGTTCCCGGTCAGGGCACATGGCCCGACGTGGGCTCGATCTCCAGCAGGGGGCGTGCAGGAGGCAGCCGATCAATGACTCTCATCATTGATGTTTCTCTCTCTCTCCCTCTCCCTTCCTCTCTGAAATCAATAAAAACATATTTAAAAAAATATATAGCTCCGAGAACAAAGTGAGACGCTACAGATAAAATGTAAGTAGCTATGATTTTATTTCTCCCTTCGTCCCTATCAGCTCTGTCATCCTCGCCACTACTCCCTGAAGTTCCAAAGTGAATGCCAAGAAGCTGGAGTAGTATATTTACTACGCTGAAATCTATACAGACTAAGAATAAATCCTGAAGTTAACAGGGGGGTACCTGTTAAAAATAGTTTCCTAAGTCTCGTCTCAGATCTATTGGATTTGAATCTGGGATAAAATCCAAGAATGTGCATTTTTAATAAGCTACCCAAAACTTGGGTGATAATTACAGGTAATTTCCAGGCACCCTGGTGTTTCTGAAACCCTGAATTAAAAATAAGGAAGAAGGCAAACTGAATCTAAGTGCTTAAGGTGGGAACTTCACTGAAAGCAGATACCAAATGCTATCATTCAGCTGTTTCTTCAGATATTAAGTATGTAAGATGCAGTACTTGAGGTACAGAGGTTCAGAGATTTTTTAAATACCACGGTGATTAAAACAACTTGATTTACCATCACTGGCTGGTAACATCTTAATCTTCCCATTCTTGTAGAAAAGTCTGGGGTTTTTTAGTGCTATCAGATGTAATCTCATTTAACTCTGACAATATCCTATCAACCAAAACAGACTGTGCAACACATAACCTGTGAAGGTAACTCCTAAAGAGAAGCTACAAAAGCATTTCCAGAAAGAATAATCAACTATGACACACGATAAGGTCAGAGTTACCAAAGTGAGAGCTTCTCAACTGTGCCAAGGAACCCTGCAGAGCCCCGAGCCCCCGGGAGGTGAAAGGGGCCCCGGTGCAACCAGCGTCTATGGGCTTGTAATGGTCTCCAGATCACTCCAATGTGCACACAAATATTATTTTCTAAGAATGCCAAAGAGATTGTGAAGCACCAATTTCATGGAAAGTGCTGACCTGAGAATCAAGAAAACCAGATTCAACTCCCTGCCACATCCCTGAGTTGTTACTTAACCCTCCAGAACCCATGGTTGGCTCTCTCTTATTTATTAAATGAGGACTAGTTCAGACTTCTAAGATCTCTGCTATTTCTAAAATTCCATAATTTCCCTTACACTCACCTTTCTAAATGTAAAATAATACTCACTGGTCATTTGATTAAAAACTCTAAATTCAGTCGCTCATTAAATATTTATTAAGAACCTAATCTGTGCCAGGCATGTGAGAATCTGGGAAACAGATATGAAAGATAGTCTCCTAGTATGGGGTCAAATACATTTTATTGTGAATAAATAACATCCTTTATTAATAATCTTCGTGTTCCTTTAAATGGTTAAATAGTAAAAGTATACTAAATAGTGCCCAAATAATGGAAATCTGCACAGATAATGAAAGCTTTAATTATAATCATAGCTTCTACCAATATATAAGGCTTTCCTTCTCTGCACCCTTCACTTGTTTTGGTTTTTGGTTTTTTTAAAGTTAGAACATTTAAATTTACTGGTAATTTGCACTTATAATCAAAATCAATTTCCAAAGTATAAGCTTAAAAATAGTTTATTTTCAAGATTCTCAATAGGACTTCAACATCATATTTTCAGATATAACAACAAGATGATCAGTATGTTCAGTATATTTTAATTCACGATGAAAGTTGCTCCAGATCTATGGTTAAACGTGTATATACTGTTTGATTGGGTAGAGATGGGGAAAGCACTGGTTCAAAGTTTTAATTAAATATTACATAATAGGAATTTCCCTCTACAAATCTAAAATGAAATTTTCATATGGATACAATTTCACAAAGGTTATAAATATATATCAACTTACAACTAAAGGAAGCATTTAGTATTTTACAATGTTTTAAAAATCTAGATCCATAATCACTTTCTTTAAAAAAAAAAAAAAAAATCCTTCCCATATAAAATAAAAAGTCTACATTTCTCTGGAAATGCATGTATTCACCTAATAGTAAGATCCAAAATGAGAAGAATTA